ATTGCGGGTGGATGGAGATGGGGGAAAGCTTATGGGATGCTTACTGTGGGGGGATGAGGGAAGGAGAATTGAGGTCCTGGCTGTGGGACAATGGGGTAAGGGAGCAGTAGGGTAGGGGGAATAGGGATGGTGGCAGTAGCAGGTGAGTTATGTGGGAATGACAGTGCAGGGGGGTGAAGAGGAATTTGGGGAATGTTGGATGGTGTGAAGAGAAGGGGTCTGTGGGTGTCGGCCCGGATGAGGGCTGGGGGTTGTAGCTTGGGAGTGCTGGGCAGATACTGGCTTGCAAGGGGTGAGGTGGATATTGGCTGGGGGCGGCAGGACTTGTGAGGTGGCATTGGAGTGGTGGTGGATGGGGTGTGGAGGGAAAAGGGGGGGGTGGGTAGTGAGGGGGCTGTGGGAATGGAGGGCTGGGGTGAGCTGAAGCTATGAGGTTTTGGATGGGGTAGGGAGCTGTGGAGTGATTCTAGCTGGGGTGAGGTAGGGCAGTTGGTGGGATAGACAACCTGTGGGAATAGAGGCTGGGATGGATTGGATGGGGGATTGGATGGCTGAGAAGGAGCTGTGGGGGATTGGATGGCTGAGAAGGAAAGAACATCTGTGGCCCTACTGGCAGGGGTAGGGAGTTAGAAAGTAGGTTGCAGAGACAGGGAGTGAGTTAGTGGCATTCTGTGGGGGAAATTTTTTGGGGGGAGCAAAGGAGGTTGCTGGGGTACTGGAGCGCTTAAGAGTACTGAGTGGGGCAACAACTGGGGGGAGAATGAGGTAGTGGAACTTATTAGGTAAGATTAAAATGTGGAGTTGGCTAGGAAGAGGGAGCTGGTAAAGTTTGGGGAGAACTGGTGGGTGATTGGATGCTGTGGAGTAAACTTGGACAACTTGCTTGATGTGGGAAATGGCATAATTCAAATACATTGCTGACTGAAAGTAGGTCTCTGATCTGTCGTGACTTTAGCCCCCATTCCTTTGTTCATTACTTTATCCTCTTTGATTTTGTTAAGGTGACTAATCTAGGAAAAGCAGCTACTGTGCATTTGAAAATTACTACTTTTATGCCAGGCATCAGATTTCATTCTGCAGCTAGCTGTTACATTATAATCACAGCATGTGTCTCTTACACACTGTTATGTCTTGATCAGTAACTGTACGTTCTAGGGGCATAAATACAGAACTGGGCTATTTTTTTAAAATAAAGACTAAAATGTTCACAGTATTGGGGTCAGGGTTTATAAGAAGCTACAAGTAATATTCTTATTAATAAATATGCAGTCTTTTGCGGTTTTGAGTTGTGCAGTTTCCCTATGAGTGTTAATGGAAATTGCTGGGCTAATTTACGACTACATCTGTGCTAGCAAGCTTGACTGCTGTATTTCACCATTGATATAGCTTCACCAGTGATAGTGCAGGTGACTATGATGATCTATGTTGCTGGGAAGAGTACTGCATTAGTGGTTGCTAGCCACTAAGGCTCAGCTGAAACAAGAAGCTGTAGGTAAATTACACAATGATTCAACTTAGTTGGTTAAAGATCTTCCAGTGATCCAGTGTTTCTGCAAGAGGGCTAATTTTCACCAACACAAGTTAGATAACTTCTTGGGACTTAATCGTTACTTGTTTCTACATGGAATGTGTACCCTGACCATTCTAGGCAGGGATAGGTTTTTTGGCCTATACATTATTCCTTGTAAACTCCTTTTATTTGAACATTCAGGCTTTGTTTACACTGCAGGGTTTTTGCACAAGAAGCTTTTTGTGGAAGAGATCTTCCGCAAAAATCTTCTTAAGCAAAAGTGTGTCTACATCTCAAAAGTGATATGCTTTTGCGCAAAAAAGTGTCCACACTGCATGGACACTCTTGCACAGGAAAGTTCTGTGTTTTTTGTGATAGGCTCTTTTTGTACAAGAAATCCCTGTTGAGCGTCCACACACACCTTTTTGCGCAAGAACTCTTATGTTCTTAGGAGTTATGTCTTGTAGAAGGCGGTATACCTACACCGCAAAAAGCCTTGTGTTCTGTCGATTGTAGATTTTCTTGCACAAAAACGTGCTTGAGATGTGGATGCTCCATGGGTTTTTGCGCAAAAACCCTGTAGTGTAGACATAGCCTCAGATTAAGTGCCTGTTTTTCAGACACAGCAAAATTTTTTCCTGTCCTCACTTGGTCAGGCTGTTTTGTCTATCTGTTACATGCACTGAAACAATCATAAACCACAAGCTGTTATCTCACTTTATCTTAATGTAGTATAGTGTAACAATTTGTGACTTTCCATTTCATTTTTCTATCAAATAAACCTCCATGCAGGTGTTCTTGTTCTTCTAGAAAGAATCAAGCCCTCTGTTTTGTTGTTGTGTATGAAATGTATGTATTTCACTGATGGTGTTTTATATTTGCTCTAGTTCATGAAGGCAGCCCTCTTGGCGAGCTACATCGTTGTGTCAGAGATGGTATAAAAGTCAATGTACATATCCGAACGTTCAAGGGACTGCGTGGAGTCTGCACAGGATTTTTGGTTGCATTTGACAAATTCTGGAATATGGTAATTATTGTATTACTTACAGCCTCTGCACAGGAAGCATCCTAACTGGGAGAAGGATTAAACTGGCGAATTTGGAGGAAGCAGGAGTGTGGTGTTGCAGATCATGAACCCAATGTAACTCACTGTTATATTGAGAGAGAAATCAAAAGGATTTGTGTGAGGATGATGGGAAAGATTTGGAAGTAATGTAGGAACAGCTGCTAGGCCCTACACGTCCTTTGTTTTTATACATCAAATAGCAAAGCTCTGGTGGATAATATTAGCCTCAGATTTTCTGTGGCCCTTCACACAACCCCTTTCTCTTTACAAGAGGCAGAGTCCACAGCTTATTTAGTCATACTCACCATGGGCTATTTCATGGTTTAGGGGTGAAAACCTCTCACTAGTCCTGGTCTCCTCTCTCAGGGCAGTCTCTGTGTTGACATGGGGGAAGTTTGGAGGGAACCCAGGCTCACCTACTACTCCAGGTTCCAGTCTAGGGACCCTAAGGGCACATCTACACAGCAAGGCAAAAGCCAAAATAAGCTACTCAACTTGAGCTATGTTAATTGAGTAGCTTAAGTTGAAATAGCTTATTTCGGCTTTTGGCACTGCCTACACAGCAGGAAATCTGAGAGAGAACACTCTTCCTCCGACTTCCCTTACTCCTTGTACAATGAGCAGGGCTCGACAAACTATACGATAGATTTCAGCTACGTGCCCCATTCACTCACGGCATTCGCAATGAGGCTCTTGCGCATGCACAGTACGGGGCTGGCGAGCAGTTTTTGCCGCTGTTTGTCAAGCCCTGACAATGAGGGTTACAGGAGTCGGAGTAAGTCCTGCAGCTCAACATTATTTTGACACTCTCGCAATAACTGCTTGTAGCATAGACACAGTCTTTGCAATTTTGGAATAACATTAGTTATTCTGAAATAACACTTCTGTGTAGACATAGCCTAAGGTAGCAGCAACAGTCAGGATTATTTTCATTTCTGAACTGGGCAGCTTTTTCCCTGAGCCACTTCCCCAAATTACCTCTCCAAGTATCTCCCTTTGGTACTTGCTAGCCAGTCCACAGCTCTCACACAGCTGCTGCTTCTTGTTCTGCCCTTCCTCCTTCCAGTCCATCACTCTTTGTCTTGCCCCTCTCCTTATTTGGAGGAAAGGTTTTTAAAGCAGCCCCTCCTTAATTGGCTGCAGGTGCTTAATGACTTGCTTGAGGGAACGAGCTAATTAACTAGTTCCAGGTGTTTGCCTGTAGTCTTTTTGTGGCAACAGACTCTAGGACGGGTGTCCAACCCATTCTGGGCAAAGAGCCAAGATAGCAGTGGATCCAGTGCGAAGAGCCAGGGCAAAGTTGTCAAGCAAAAAAAAAGCAGCTCTGCCCCTTTAAGAAAACAGATTTAAACGTATTTTCAGGCTTTTTGCCCACAGCGGGCTCCTGACGCCATCTTTAATTCTACATCTTTCATGGCTGCGCTGGACAGCTCTCCTGCCCAGGTCAGCACAGGGAGCCGGGAGGAGAGGGCTGTTTTTGGGGGCGTGAGGGCGGCTTATGATCCATGGGGGGAGAGGGGGCTTTGTGAGCTGCACCCGGGGCGGAGGCGGAAGAGCTGCATGTGGCTTGTGAGTCTCGAGTTGGCCACAGCTCCTCTAGGAATTTACTCTGGAAAGAGGAAAATTACTTATCCTGTGCCCTGTATGCCCTTTCTTCACTAGAGTGCAGCAGGCTGCTGGTTTGGGTCTGTCACAATCTGTATAACAGTGTCTTGGATATAAAGAAACAAACTCCTATGCAGTGCTTGTTCTTAAATTGTCCTTCAGACAGTTTACTCTTTGATTGCTTTATAATCTATGGTACAAAACTGTTGTGAAGGTCAGAGTATTTAGAACTTTGTTGAACTTTTCCCTTTCTGTCTTCTTTCAGGCCCTGACAGATGTAGATGAGACATACAGAAAACCTGTACTGGGCAAAGCATTCTACAATGAACCTCAGCTGACTCTTACGAGGGTAAATAGCTTTCTAACAGCTTAACAGCAGACTTTCTTTGCCTTATTTTTGTGGCAGTTAAAAAGGTAGCATTTCCATCTGAAACTGCAGTAGTTATTTTTACAGGTAACCTCAAAGATTATTAGAACGGAAAGAGTTCAGAGGAGAAACTATTTTTTCAGTTTGTTTATTTCGTGCATTTGACAGCACTGTTTATAGTCAGTTTCACTGGTCATTTGGTAGTCATTTGAATGTCAGTCAATTGCAATACTATGGAAACTGCCCCCTCATATCCTGTTCCCCAGATCAGTTACTTGCTATTTTCCCAAGCTCCACCAGATGGCGTTTGTTGTAGCTTAGTTGCAACTGAAGAGCCAGCAGACAGACATATGAATAGCAAGGGAGGGACAGCAGAGCTCCATGAATGTTTAATGTTGCTTTGGGCCTGCTTAGAAGACCTTTCTAAACATTGTCAGAGGAGTAGAGAAATCCTTGAACAAACTTATTATAGGCTATTTGTTTTTAAATTCAGGACATATTATTTAAATTGGGTTTTTGCATAGATTTCCCCCCCCCCACACACACACACTGTTTTCTCTCTCTCTTTTAAATCTGTCAGTTAAAAAAATGTTTTAAGTTGCCCATGTTCCTTTTAAGCCCATCCGTACAGGGCTGGGTTTTCCATTAAGAAACCCCTTGACTAGAAATTGGACCTGCCAAGCAACCCAGTGTCTGTTTCACGTGTGAATTATGTGTAATGCTGACATAATGCCAGCATAATCATTTCTCTTCCAACTTCAGCACCTTTTCATTTTCAGATTAGTTAGAATTAATATTTAAAGAGTTATCCTAACCATTTTTATGAATAGTTACTATTGGTTGTGGCCACTCACCTCCCAAAACAGCTCTCTTCTGGTGTGCCTATAATAAGTCTATGGGGCACCCAGGATCAATTTTTCTCCCTGCATGAAGTCCTGGAATATTGAGGCTCTGCATCACAGCTGTTTGTCTCCTTGCTAAGGAGGAGAGCTTTGGGATTACTTTAGAACAATCTGGTTGTTTTGGGGGTAGAGGATGGATTGGAAGTCACTGAAAGACATGCTGACTCTTGTCTTCCCTGCCCTAATGTTGAATATTGCCTCCACAACAGTATTGCCCCTAAAAACTAAACTCCCTACTAATCATGAGATGCCACAGGCACTCTGGTATACTACCTCTGGCACATCTGCATGTTTGACACCCCCGTTCACCTTAGTTCTTCGTTTGCCCCTGGAAAAAGACTAATATTGGTTGATGATAAAATTCTCCATCAATGACGTGCGCTGGTTGCCGATTCTGAGCCAAGTACTCAGTGCTTCATTTAAGAGGAGAATGAGACGCCTACGTTTATGAATGTCATAGTTTGCCTGAATGTTCCCTTGCAGCTGTTTGACAGACTCAAACTGCAGGAATCCTTGATAAAGAAGGGAGCTGACTCTAGGACTGCAACAGAGGAGCCAGCCCTGACAAATGAATCAAAGACCCTTGGACGGAAAGCTGGGTCAGGACGGGGCAAAGGAGAGGACGAGTGTGGGGTGCAGACATTTTTGGGTGGAGCTGGAGAAACGAAGACAACGAATGACGACTTGCATCTGACAGTCAGGAGTAAGGCTGACCTACTGAGTGGGACTGCTCAGATGCAGGGCACTAGTGCAGGGGGTGCTAATGCAAAAGGCCAACCACGGAAAAAGCGGAGGCCCAAAGTGGATTATCAGCAGGTGTTTACGCGTCATATAAATCAGATATTTATCCGAGGCGAGAATGTCTTGCTTGTTCATTTAGCACATTGACTTGGCTGAACCTTAGTATATTTAACGCAGCATGAATTGCAGCTACAGCTCTTGCTACTTAGCATCGTTGTGAAGTACCGTGGTTTTGTAGCAGTTTCCCTTCCTTTGACCATAACAAGAGAAGGGAATAGATGCAAGTTTGTCAGGTTGTTGCATCTTGAGCCAGCTGCCAGACCAACCCCTTTAATGGAGACGGGCTAGCGACACTGAAGGCAAATTCAGCAAGAGTTTGCCTTTGAAAAATGAAGGAAATGAGAAGAATCCCAAAGCAGGACAGGAGGCTTCGTAACAGGATAAATTAATTAGGTTGAGGGGCAAAATCAGTGTGCTTGGTTGTGGATTAAAACAGTCACCTCACGTTTAAAGAGTATGCAACTCAGCATGCAATCTAAATCGAATGACCAATGCTAAATGTCTCAATTGCAAGAGAAATCCGTTTCTAGCAAAACCAACAAATTACATAATTAGTTTATAATAATTTAAAGTCTGGCAAAGAATAAAAACTCTTGTATCTTAATGTGTAAGAGAATCAAGAGCCCATGCAAAAGAGGGACAACAGCAGTGGCGTTAAATCATTTGTTCCCTGCTGTGGCAGGCACAGCTCTGTAAATGCACTCCAGTCCTGAGCTGCAGTACCTATGTTGTCTAAACCTGTTTCTTGAACAAAGACTAAAAGGTTGGGGTGGTCTGATATGTCTAAATAAGCACTTTAAGATCTCTCTCTCTCTCTCTTCTCTCCCTTTCAAAAAAGAAAAAAAAACACCCTTTTTAAGTCAGGGTTTGAACTCCCTAACCTGCCAATCAGCAGTTAATGTAGTCTAGCCAATAACTTTCTGACTTGTCATTGCTTTATGAAACACAATACTTCAGTCTTTTATATTTCATTCCACCCATTTGCCACATAGTAGAACAGTGAAATGTGAGGCTGTACTTTTCTTGTCAGATTTGAAAAATAATTTGTACCTAGCACAGTTGTACTGTGTCTAAGCGCCTTTGAAGTTTTCTCTCTTGAAACCTGAGATGCTCCCTCTCTGGCAGTTCTGATGGGACCACAAATCTTAGTGATTCTTTCTGGGTAGTATATGAATGGTACTCCCTCTAATTCCAGTTGAATTGAATCTCAGAGATGTACTTAACATTATTATAAACATAAAATTAATGCTAAGTCCCAGCAAACTGTGTTCCTTTCCTCATACCTAAATCATTGAAGAATAGCCTCAAACCTGTGCAGTATATAAACTGTTAACCAGAAACTATGGGCAAATTCCTTGAGTCAAACGGTAGACATGATGACCATTATATCATCTAATCTGATCTCCTGGTGTCTGACCCCAAAATTGGGGGAGGGGCAAATAGTGAAAAGGACCAGTCACTGATTCAGAGTGATCTGGATCATGGTAAGCTGGGTCCAAGCAAACAAGCATTTGAATATGGCAGATTGTAAAGGTATACATCTAGGAACTAAGAATGTCAGTCATGCAGGATGAGGCGACTATCCATGGAAACAGTGACTTTGAAAAAGGTTTGGGTGTCATGATGGATAATCACCAGAACATGAGCTCCCAAAGTGTTGCAGTGACCAAAGGAGCTAATGCAGTCCTGGGATGCATAAATGGGTATCTTGAGTGGGAGTAGAGATGTAATTTTTACCTTTCTATTTGGCATCGGTGTGACATCTGCTGGAATTATGTCTACTCCTGGTGCCAACAATCATAGAAAGATGGTGATGAATTGGAGAGGGTTCAGAGAGGAGGCTCCAAAATGATTTCACAGCCCCAGTACGTTTTCTAATCTTTAAATCACTTGGGTTTAACCAGTAAACCGATTAAGTAGGATCCCCCTCCCCACATATGCAGGGAGTTTAGCTTCTGCTCCCGGCTCCCCAAGTGTGCGGCTCCTGCTCCCGCCTCCTCTTTCCTCCTTCCCCCTCCCCCGTGGGGGGATAGCTCCCAACCCCCGTGGGGCTCCTGCACCATACACGATTAGGGTGGTGCTTACCCGTTAACGAGTTACATTTTAAGGATATGAATGGGAACCTTAGTGGTAGACTCCAATAACTTAATCTATTTATTTTTAACAAAGAGAAAGTTGAGTGACTTAATTACAGTCTGAGTAACAAATATTTAATAATGGGCTCTTCAGCTTATCAGAGAAAGGTAAAACATGATTCAATGGCTGGAACTTGAAACTAGACTGGAAATAAATCGTACACATTTTTAGCAGTAAATATAATTAACCAATAGAAAAATTTACCAAGGTTTGTGGCGGATTCCCCATTGTTAATTATTTTAAATCAAGAATAGCTGTTTTTCTAAAAATCTGCTCTTGCAATTATTTTGGGACTGGTCTCTGGCCCATTTCTTACAGGAGGCCAGACTAGATTATCACAGCTGTCCCTTTTGGTTGGAATCTATATTCCAGGCCTATACATTTCACTCATGTACTCTTGTATTGATTTCACTTATTTGATGGTGCACAGCAACTCCCTGCTAAAACGAGGAGTAGGAGATGGGAGAACAACTTTCTTAATGCTTTATAACTTGAGCGTAATGCACTGAAGAGTCAGTCCTAGAATTTACTGGTTATGCAAAACCAGTAAATTATGTATGCTTTTTTATAATTAGGAATACATCTGATACACACATCGTTTAACAGGAGTTTCTGGATGTTCAAAGCAGCCTTTTGTCCGGTGGGCTGTTTGAAACTTATCTAGACATTTCAAATAAAGCACCTATTAGGGCTTGAATATCTGATGGGAGAAGATGCTGAGTTTCCAGTTAAAATCCAGGCTGTGATAGTAAAGATTCAAATGGGATCTAAACACTGAATACTATAGTGGGAATAAAACAAATGCAATAAGATTCTGAAAACTTGCTATGGAAATGAGCGAATTACTGTAACTACTTGTAATGAACAGAGCTTTGTTACCAGAACCACCACATACTCTCTGAGCTCAGACTTTGGCCACTGAAAAGGCTTCTCTGATTTCAGGCTCTGTTCGTCCTTTTAAGCGCCCCCCCTCTTCTCCCTCGCACCATTTTTAAATGCCTATTGATTCTTCCCTCTCCTTGCATTCCTTTCTAAAATCTTATTTTCATCTTTGCCCTTAATTCACTCAGATTTTCCAGTTTGGCTTTCTATTAGGTCACTTTATTGAGAGAGCTCTTGTAAGAGTTATTAAATCCTTGCTTGAGGTCACAGCCAAAGATTTTACCTCTGTTCTTGACCTCTCAGTATCTTCTGTCACTATGGGTGACAGTTCTTTTTTTCATTTCCTCAGCTGTTTTTTTGACTCTGCACTGCAATATTTTTTGTCTAGTTTTGTTTCTTAGAGTATCCTGTGACAATCATTTCTCTGTCTCTCATCCATTCTCAGACCAAAGGGCTCTGTTCTGGGTCCTCTATTCTACGTTTTCCAATTCATTTGCTAGGTGTGATTAACTCTGCTTGGACCCAGTCATCCAGTAACATTCATTTGTGTTCTTCCTTTCTTTTTTTTCATGTATCTATAATTCTTTCTACTTTGCTTAATTCCATTTCCACCTAGACTAATGCCACTGGCCTTAAATTATATATGACCAAGATGAATGTTCGTTATCTCCACTGCTTGCTTTTTTTATTTGATGGGAGTATCAACAACAATCTAGTCTTGATGCTATCTTGGACCAACAACTCCCTCCCCCCCTTCTCTTTTTAAACCTTGTAGATATTGCCTTCAGAACTGTCCCATCCATAGGATGGTTTAGGGCCGCTGACACACATGCTGCGCTTTGGGGGCCCCCGCAGCAGATGCCTCTACCATCCTGTGGATGGGTTCTAGGCCCAGAGGATTACTATGGGTCCTGGGGCAGGGTGGTTGTGAGTCACTCCTTGACCTCTTCACTCACCACAGTGGTGGGATGTGGAGCGGCCCAGCAGCCTGCTCTACCTAATTCTGCTGTTCTCTCCCAGACTGCTGCACTCTGCTTCACTGTGGCAGCAGCAGGTAACCGAGTGCCCAAGGTTGTCTGCTTGATGCTGCCTTGGTGAAGCGGGGCGCAACAGGCTGGGATAGGGTGGTGGGATGGAAGGAGCGGGGTTCTGTGTTGCTCCAGCTCCTGCTACTGTCGTAAGTGTGGGAGGATATGCTGACCCCTGCTGCCCCACACCAGGTCCCCCTTAATTCCCTGAGTTGCATTGCTTGTGGGGGAGTGGGCATTGGCAATGGGGCTAGAAGGGTGGGACTTGGAGGAAGGGGTGCGGCAAGGATGGAGCAAGGTAGTGCCTGCAATTGGAAGGTTGTCCTGGGCCTAGGACACTGGCTGGGGGTTGCCCCAGGCCCTGCACCCTTCTAGGGACAGCCCTGGTCATCTTATCAACATATTATATCTGTAAGTTTCTTTTTCACATTTCAGTAAAAATCTTCATCCTTGAGCTGCTTGTTTTGTGCCTTGATGTCTGCATTGCTGTTGATATGCTTTTCCAAAAGCATCTCATCAGCTACCTTGGTTGATTAACCATTCAACATGTACCTTGTTGCTTCTCTCCATTCATGTTGCTTCTTCTGTCATTTCACTGTCTTGCTGTCTCTCTGTGCTACCAGTTTTAAATTTTTTTCTTGTACTTCAGCACTTGATCTGGTCCTTCTTCCTTTTATTGCTCCTCTCCATTCCCGTTCATATCTCTATGTTTCTAAATATTGTCCTCCTCTTTCAATAGCCACAGATCTGGTGCTTTCTTTCCCTCCCTCACCTCCTTCTGATGTGATTTTTTTTTTAAACCCTTCTTCAAAATTATCTCTGGTAAGTGTAATATATTCTCACTCAGCCACAAACAAGTCAGTAATGGTCTTGTGTTTCTTTTATGCATATCATGCTCTTTGGATAAAAGTTACTATCAAGGGCTTATTTCTATTAGCAGTCATTCTGGAATAGCTATTCTTAATAAACTCCATGTGTGGACATAGTGGCTACGTCTACACTGGCCCCTTTTTCGGAAGGGGCATGCTAATTTTCAACTTCGGAATAGGGAAATCCGCAGGGGATTTAAATATCCCCTGCGGGATTTAAATAAAGATGTCTGCCGCTTTTTTTCCGGCTTGGGGAAAAGCCGGAAAAAAGCGTCTAGACTGGCCCGATCCTCCGGAATAAAGCCCTATTCCGGAGGATCTCTTATTCCTACTTCAAAGACATCTTTATTTAAATCCCGCGGGGGATATTTAAATCCCCCGCGGATTTCCCTATTCCGAAGTTGAAAATTAGCATGCCCCGTCCGAAAAAGGGGCCAGTGTAGACGTAGCCAGTTATTGAGTGCTAACTAGACCAGATAATATGCTTTAAAATTCACACTCAACCTTATTCTAGATTAACCATATGTTAATAAGCCCTAAATAAAATATTTGATCTTGTGGAATCAATTTTTCTACATCGTCTAAATCTTCATATGCCTGTCACTCCTGTGGCACCTTAGAGACTCACAAAAACTCATGGTATTGTATATTTTGGTTAGTCTCTAAGGTGCCACAGGATTACTCATTGTTTTTAAAGTTACAGACTGACATTGCTACCCCTCTGAGACTAAATCTTCATGTTAAACTTTACAAAACAATAATTAAATAGATTTCCTAATTTATATTTGTTCTTGATTCTTTTCCTCCTAGGTTATTTTTACCTAAAATTGGGGTCTTTGTTACATACATATACTGTTTGCTCCAATTCGTCATTTACCACAGCAACTAAATGTGGTATCACAAATGACAGAACTTTAGGTGAAGAACAAACAGTAGAAATGGATGGGGAAACAAAGAACTAAGTGAAACTGTTGAGACTTTAGACAGAATAACTGGTACACTGGTAAGAATTGGACATACCAGTTACATTCAGTCTAGGTTTTTTTTATCACTTTTCAAGATGATAGGACAACAGTGATTCACAAGATGTATGTTTTAGATGTGCCAAATTTTATCACATGAAACAAAGTCCTCTAAACTACCTTTGAAGAAGGGTCATGAAAACCTGTTAAATATTAGAAATGATTCTAAAGTACTAAGAAAATATAGAATCTGTGGAATCATTTTCTTGTCAGCTATTGTAATGATGAAAGGTTCTTGAATCAAACAGCTGTCACAATGTGCTATGGACACAATATAATGGAAAAAAACCTAATATTGCTTTACTTTTTTGTAAAGAGATCTTTAAACCAGAGCTCTATCCCCATTGGATCAGAACTGTTAGTTGCAGTTGTATGTCTTCATGGAAGCTGCTAAGGAGAGTTACTGCATAGTTCAGCTTGGGTGTTCAAATACAGGTGAAGATGCTGTGGTCTTGATTCTTTTTGTGGGCAAGGCAAGAGTGGTTTGCAGAGTTTTCCTGCCGTGATATTAGTTGTCTCTTAAATGTGAGTCTTGCATCATCATAAATGAGCCCAAAGAAGTGGAACCAGCCTTAACAAAGTATAAAATGTTTGTTCCTCTTCTAAACCGATTCACCTCTCTTTGGGTAACTGATAGAAGATTTTCATTATCTCCTGCCAGGTACTTTTACTGAGTGTCTAATCTAGTGATTCTCCCTCATGACCAGGATTGTTATTCCAGGTATGGATTTCCTTTGTGCAAATTTTGGAGATAGATGTAGACTGTCAGCTGGCATAGGTCTCTAGACAGAGACATGGGCTATTGCTTGGTACAGAGCAACTGGGCAGACCTTCTAGACTCCATCTTCAAGCAGAGTCCTTAATTGGGATTCTTCTTTAATCTGGTGTGACTGCAGGGTTTTTTTATTTTATTTTTGTTCTTTCCTCCTCCCATGGAGAGAGGTTTCCTAGTTCGTTACAAAAGAGATCTGCATCCTCTCTTCAGCCTACTTTCCAAGAGAGAGCCTACTGTGGAATGACTGTCCAGAAATAAACCCAAATACATGCAAGACCTGAAGTCAGTGGTGCACAAAGTGTCTTTGAAAGTGAACTTCCATTCATGCCTAAATCCCGAGAGACAGCTATGGTTCTGTTCCTGAGAAGGGCATGTCTAATCCACGCATGTCATCACATTTTCAAAATGTGCAGGTGGAAAATTCTTTGGGAAACTACCAGAGAACTGTAACAAATAAGATTCCCCTTCCGTAGTTGGGAGAAAAGAGATTTCAGACCATCCAACCAAAGGGAAAATACTCCTTTCAAGGCTTCAGTTCTTTCTAGGCTTGATGGCAGCTACTGGAGAGAGGGCTAGTTTCACAAGTAAACAAATATCATGTCTAATCCTCCTTTGGCCACATGCCTATGAACCAGAGCTCTAGGGGGATAGACTCATTCAGTTTGCGGACACCTACACCTTCACGTCCAAGAGAGGAGTTCTAGACAAAGCCCAGTGTACACCTGCCTCTTGCCAGCATTGTAGGGGGGACTCACCTTGCATCAGAAGATGATTCCTGAGCGGGGAGCACAGCTGCTTAATCTTCAGAGATCCATTCAGCAGCACTGTGGATGCTTATCTTCATGTTTCAATTTCTGCAGAAGCTTGGCAGATTCTAAGACCCATCCAGCCATCATCCTGGTATCAGGTGCTGCAGAGCAGGGCAATGTAATTATTGTGGAGTCACTCTGAGGTATGATCAGGTGTGTCCAATTAACTCCAGTGTGGGAGCATGTGGTCGAGTGCCTCCCTTGAAGGCAGAGGGAAGCGGGGGCAGACAGGCACTTCAGGGAAATCTTCAAGCTGCCGAACTCTAGGACAGCATTTAAGATGAAGTCCACATTCCTTTCTGTTACCAAAACTGAGGGGGTAAGTCCGGAGAGAATGTGTGCGCTCTGTTCAGAACTGTGGCAATGCTGTAATGACACCGCTTCTGCCAATATCTTTGTCTTGCCATCAAAGTAATATCAGTGACACATTCTGTCTATGAAGGCAGTGCTGTGTGTTGCATGCCTACAAAGTGGTCCTAAGATTTTATTTCAAGGATATGCTACACTTCTTCAGAGGTCACGAGATTGAATTTCCTTCCTTCTGTCCGAACTCTACCTCAAGAGGAGAGTAGCTTCACCTGGATGTAAGGAAAGCACTTGAGCTTTACATGGAATGGACAGGTGCCTTCAGCAAGTTCACAGTCCACAGCTGTCCGTGCCATGTATGATTAAGGAGAGAAGGGGCCTTTGTCTTTAGGCGTCTTATGGTTAAAATTATATGGTGAAGTTTACCAATCTAAGCTCCTGTTCTTTCTAGACTATATTATTGCCCATCAGACCAGATCCACATTGGCATTCTGGCAGGAAAATCTCAGGCCAACCATAAAGAGATTGACAAGGGAGGCAACTTATTCTCCATCTGTATGGATGTTGAACAATTCTAGGAATGCAAGTGCAGTTGGTCTCTTGGGATAGGGTAATTTTACTATCTTGGTTACAACCATCTTGCCACCTCCACTGGGATAGAGATGCTCATGTAGCCTGCTCATGAACCTATGTTGCCCATCGCTGCCTCAGCCCATCCTTTGGATTTCACCACCATCAAAATCCCATGCTAAGAAATGGTGAAGCTGGGTATGAACACAGAGGAGAAAGGTATTTCCTTATCTGGCACCAGCTTTTCTTCTCTAACCTCCTCAGAAATTGGCCAGCATTGGGTGGCTTGTGCTCTGTAGACAACATGGAAAGTGTTAAGAGAAAGCGTTCACAGCTTCAAGACTTCCATGACATCAGTTCTCTGCAAATTTTACCGCACATGAAACAACACACACATTGGCAGTGGAGAGGACCCACCCACCCCACCCTACTCTGCTTACTGACGTGTTTTATCCTACCTCCAAAATTTTCAGAAGAAACCCATTGGGGAAAGAAAAACCAGGCAAGCAAATTTCTTTTTTGCACTGGAGATAGACTGGAGTCTTGGTGATGTTTGTTCATTTCCTAGGAAGAGAGGAGAAGGGAGTACTTTAATGGGGGAATATAAGAGGTGGCTTGTCTCATGTTTACAAGCCCTTTATGTATCATAAGTGCTCTTGCTCTCTGCTGACAAAAGTGAAAGCTTGTCAAGGAAGGGAGAAACGGCTTCTGATGTTCCCAGATAGTTATTTTATTAGCTTCTAGCTTCATAGCATACAGTAGGGTGACTTAGCTGACGAAAATTAGTACACCTGAGACTGTGTCAGCCTGGTATTCGTTGAGAATGAAAAGTAGCTTGATCAATTTGTATAAAAACATATCCATCCTTTCCTCTCAAAAGATCCGGGCTGTCCCTCAGGAAAGAAATGAACGTAGTGCCTGTTCCTTTAGCAATTGCTTCTGATTTTTACCGCTTCAGAGCAAAGTGAAGCTGGATCATTGTGTCTTCTACTTGATATATCATTTGAAGCTGAGAAACTGAGAAATGTTTCACTTATTTAAAACCTAAAATGGGCATTATTAGGGGAGTTGACTGGCTGACTGTTGTTCTGATGCTGCTTGTAGCCAATGTAGCTGTAAGGGTTGGAACTTGCAAATCAGTTACCACTGTAGAAAGCTACATGAATCCTAGGAGAACCGCATGATCTAGTGGATTGAGCTCAGGACTGGGAGTAAGGAGCTGCTGGGTTTTAATCCTGCTGCATGGCAAGTTTATTGTCTCTCTGACTCCCTTTCCACATCTGCTTATCTCACAGGTATGCACTGTATAAATGCCAAGTATTCTTAAAGCCATAATACATCAGGTGGAGCAGAGATTCAGGTTGCCTGCCCTCTATAGCACTTGCCCTTTTAGCTTTGTGTCACGACACATTACAGATGTTCACATATCAGCCGTAGCACCTCAGTCCTGAAATTGTGTCTGCCAGGCTACACCTGGAGTGACTGCACATTTTTATTTTACTTCTGGAATACTATGATCTGGTAAAACGTGTATAAACAAGTGTGTATGATAAACTTGCTCATAATTATCATTGTCTTCCTAAACATTTACTTTCTATGGAGGAATTGCTGCTATGAATTGAACAAAGAATTTACTCTCCAGATATACAAATATTTGTATAAGAGCGCTGAAACTGCAAAGCAATAAATATCTGTATAATGCTGATCGTTTCAAGTTTTTTCTTTTTTTTCTTAATGCTGTCTTAATCTGTGTACCAAGCGGCTCCTACTCCTACTGGTTAGAGCCGAAGACTGGTAATGGAGACCACTCGCCCATAGACAACTGGCAGCTTAGTGGAAGGGAGAAATGTAATAAAAACATGGATTGCATCAGTAAATCAAGGAACTGGTTTGAAACAGTTTATTTCACTTTATTAAAAGTGGACCAATTTAGTTGTACAGGGTGTACTCAATGATATTCAACAGCTATTTATTATCTAATACTAGCCCATGCCCCCCAAAATCAAAAAGTCCATGCCCTGGTCACTCGATTCTATTCTCAGCAATGTAGGTGACTTGTTGGGCAAGAAGTCTACTCTCTCTGTTCCTGTTATCTATCCGTGCAATAGTGATAATGTCTCTACCTCTGAGAGATGCTGAGACTTAGGCCTAGTCTACGTAACACCCCCACCGGTGGATCTAACCTACAAATAGCGTAGCTGAAGTTGATTGACTTATTGTGGTGTCTTTCACATGATAAATTCAACAGGACTACACTGCCATTGACTCTGGCTCTTCTTCTCATCCTGGTGGAGTACTGAAGTCAACAGGACAGCGCTTGGAGGTTGATTTAGTGTGGCTAAGCAGATGTGATAAACCGACTATTCCTGAATCGATCACTGCACGGTCAATCCACCATCTAGTGTACAAAAGCCCTTACTGTTTGTAAAGCATTCGGAGTCCCTTGGATGAGAGCTGCAGCTATGTGAGTGCAGATGTTATCTGAGGTACTGGTATTTAGTACAGTTTTTAGCACCTGGGGCTCCTCAGTGATGGACCAGGACCTCTGGTGCTTGGCACTGGAGAGATACAGATCAAACAGATGGCCCTATCCCAAACTGGCACCTCAGATGGAATCTCCATTTGTCCAAGTTCCACCTGGCCAGCCCCAGAAAATGAAGATTCCCATCCTTTGATACTGGTGGAGGAGATTCTGCAAGAATCCTTCATCTCTGCCATTTCCCCCCCGTTAGTCACTTTGCTTCAACGGCTCAAGACAGTAGGCGAGAGAGGTGGTTGCACATGATTATGCTGCACTTACCAAGACAGGCCTTACTGTAACAAAGTACTTAAGTATGTTTCAGACTTTAAGGATGTAAAAATGTTTCTGAATTGGGGCAATAGGCCAGCACTGGCCTACTTTGCACAGTGCAGTTCTCTTGGCCAGGTAAGTCCTTTGTGTAGCTTGGGGTATCGGCTTTTAGGCTTTTTAATTCAGGCACGTGTAATTATTTAAAACATCGATCTACTGTTGTATTCCAGATCCTTTTTTAAAGCAAAACAGAAAATCTAGTATGAAGTCAGTGAGTTACAGTGCTAGGGTGTATATAGGAATGGGGGAGGGGGGGCTGGCCTGGGTTTCATAATGAAGGGGTATGACTCCCTGCCTTTCACTGAGAATCTACAGCTTTACCTAACTACCAAGACACTTTGGGGGGGAGGAAGGGTGTTTTAAGAGTCTGCTCTTTCTTCCCTGTTCCCTGACTTTTTTCTTGACCGTAAATCATTTTATGAAATTTCAACAACTGATTCTTTCTCTGTAAAGACAGTGCTTACTCAGGCTACGTCTAGACTGCGGGATACCAGAGGTAAACCGCAAAACCCCTGCCGTGTCCTAGGAATGTGTTTACTCTTCTGCTTTTTTTCACAAAGAGCAAATGTGCTCTTTCGGGGAGCCCTGTGTACCTTGTTTCAGAAGGCATAAGGGCTCTGCCGAAAGAGGAGGCTTTCCCGCCATTTAGCCCCGTCTAGATGGGGCCAAATGGTGGAAAAGCCTCTTCTGAAAAAGTGGGAAAAGAAGCGTAAAATGCGGAGTGCATTTTGCGTAGGTTTTTCCGCAAAAAAAAAAAAACCCAGTTTAGACGTAGCCTCAGCCTCCGTCACAATCTACATAACACTTAAGTCACGTGTTTAACCCCCCAGTTTAGACGTAGCCTCAGCCTCAGCCTCCGTCACAATCTACATAACACTTAAGTCACGTGTTTAACTTAACGCAGATTACCCATGTGCTTTAACTTCAAATGAACTTCAGATGCTTTAATACCTGCCTGATCTGGGGCTTTGAAGAAGTTGCATTCATTATGCCCCTACAGACTTGGAAAGACAAGTGCTATCCTGCTGCAAACACCTGATGTGAGCATCTCTCCTTGTTTTATTGCTCTCCAGAGCAGTTGAATTACACTCACTTAATTCCTGTACTGTTTTTAATGGAGAGGCGATGTGTATCTAATGCTAGTTAAGCAGATCCTAGCCAAAGCTCTTTAATTGCTTCAGATTAATCAAATGGGACCCAGAGATGGTGAAACGATGGCTTTTGAGACAGGATTACAGGTTTGTGCAGAATGTCTTCAGAGCCCTACAGGAAGTGGCTTCTTGTTTGTTGTATTATGTTTGTGGTTTGGGGAAGGAATTGATAATAAAAGGAGAAGGAAAGAAATTGATGTTTTTTAAACCACTTTTAGGGAAAACCTATTTATTTTTGAATTTCTGGAAAAACAAGTCTCTTCTGGCTTTGTAGGAACACTTTCACACGCACTGCGTTCTTTGTCCTCGAAGAAGCAATTGACTCCTTAAAAGATGCTGTTTCTTTGGAGTGTCTGAGCAAAGCAGATGCTAAAATGTTGGAAGTCTGAATAAAAGTCAATGTTGACAGTTTAATGTGCTCTCATTAGCAAGGCTCGACCAACTGCTGAATCTACTTGGCCGTGGCGAGTAGATTTCAGCCAGTTGCTCCGAGCGCCCCATTCACCGGCGCTTCGCACATGTACAGTGCCAGTCTGGCGCATGCGCAGTGCGGGGCTGGCGCGTGGCTCTCACCGGGGTTTGTCAAGCCCTGCTCGTTAGAGTTCAAAGGTAACACCCACTGGTTACGAAGAGCATGTGGGTTGGAACTGCTGCCTGTGTCAATAGGCGTAGCTCCATTCTAGACAGCAGGGACCTTGTTTTTCCTGACTGTAGCCTCGGTAAGACCACAGCTCCTCAGGTCATGTTCAGAAGATTTCCTTCATAATAAGGGTTGGAAGCTTAAGATTTTGTTTTAAAACCATCAAGTAATAAGTCGTCCTGAAGCTGATGGGTACAACAGGGAGGGGTTGCTTTGAGGGACTGACTATCTGACGTTTTAAAACCATCTAGTAATAAGTTGTCCTGAAGCTGATGGGCACAACAGGGAGGGGTTGCTTTGAGGGACTGACTATCTGACCCTGTCCAGGCCTCAGGACCTTTTATCACCTTCCCCTTTGCTTTGTACCACAACTGGCAGATTTAGTAACAGATGGTTTTAATATAACTGCCCCGATCATCCCTAAATCTCTTGCCTGGACTAGCTGTCTCTGCTCTCCAGCTCACAAGGGGAATAGATTGAGATCACATTTAATTTGCTTGTCTCCGTTTCATTCTAGCTGTTGCTGCCACCGCAGTTCTTCCCTTGTTTTATGGTGTCATTAGAAACGGTAGCTGTTTCAGGACACCGACTCAGTGCAGGTCAGCTGCTTCTCTGCTGAAGAGCTCAAATCCAGGGGCAGGCCTGGGCCTGCATGTTACCTACTGTAACAGTCCCAACCCTCATAGCGCATCGTTGTGTCTTGCGCTGTGCCCCCTGTGCGTGGCAGCTAAGTATTCTGAAGGTTGATTGAGACGGGATGCTCAAATGCAGGCCGTACGTCAAAGAGATTCAGGCTGGCCGCAAGCAAACTGCGAGCTGTTCAGCCTGCCCTCTGCGGGAACTTGATGGCTCTTTCTGCACATCTGCTCCTGCACAGCAGTAGCACAGTGATGGGAGTGGTAGCAGAGATGGTGACACAGAATAGCATTGCTTTAGTGGGCACTGCAAGCATGCTGTAATCGAGGAACAAATCCTTTCCCTGGGCCATCCTCTGAAAGGGGAGGTAATGCAAAGTGATTGTAATAGGTAGGGAATGACTTGAGGATACTTTGCTTTTTTGCAGGGGAAGGCATGAGGGGCCATTCATGCCCCAAATGCTGGGGAGGGGAGCAAAGGGCCTGCCAGCAGGGCCAGGCTCCCTGGGTGGCTAGAGGGACAAGTGCAGGGGGGAGGGAGGACTGGAACCCACAG